TTTTTTTTTTTTTTTTGTATAGTTTTTTTTGTTCTAGGTTTTACACGAATGTTTACAATGGTTTCTGATCATCTGTTGGCTCCTTTCGAAGTCCAATTGGAACATCGTTCTGGGGATGATCCTAAATATGATAACGAGTTTGGATGGCGAAATCCAGTTCCCACCGGAAACTTAAGTTGTATTCCGTCTGCAAATTCTCATTTTATGTCATTCTCTAGGGACCGCCATCTTCGTTCAAGGAACGTAAGAAATGGCTCAGTGAACTATATTTTTAATAAGACACCGGAACCTTTTTTACCGGAAAAGCCTCTTCGTGGTTACCAGAAAGTGTTACAGTCCATCAAGTTCCCGCTCGCTATAATTATTTTGCTTGTTTTAACAGTGAGTTTTTTAACTTTAGGATATACAACGTCGTGATGGTTGTATGTTAGTGATGAGGACGGTTGAGATTTTCAAGTATATTATTCTTTGCTGGATGTTTGCTTGAACCTCTTGCACAACTTAGTGATAAGTGATTGGTTTTAGGGGGTTTCTGTACTTATGGTGATCATCAATATTTTACAACTCCTTTTTGGTTATCGAGCTTTACCAGCTTATGTTCAGTACATTAATGTTAATTCACGTCACATTTTTGGCATATTTGGTGCCTTTGTTGAGATAGTTATTATATGGTAAATAATTTCTATTATAACGAATTTTTTAAAACTTTTTGGTAATTTGGTCATAAATATGGCTTTTTGAATGTTATTAGTTTATTTGTTCATGTAACGCCTTTGAGTTTTTTAAGTGTATACTGACTGTATCTGTCACAGGTACTTGATGTTAGCATCTTTGGTTGGTCTGTATTCGGCACCGATTTTAAAAAGGATGAGACCACGTAAGGCAGGGACTTCGATGACTAGTATTGTTGCAAATTGTACAACAGTGTTGATCCTTAGCTCTGCTCTTCCTGTACTTGCCAGAACGTTAGGTATGGTTCTTATTTTTTAATTTTCTACAGTTTCTTAATTTAATTTCAAATTGTCTTCATTGTATTGTTTAGGTATTACGACGTTTGATCTCCTAGGCGAGTATGGAAACTTAAATTGGCTTTCTAATCTGAAATTAGTGTTGGCTTACAATGTGGTATTTTTGGTTCCTACTGTACTTTGTTTGGTGAATCATTTTACTGCCTCTGTGAGAAAAGAGGTTGTAAGGAGGTCTGTTCTTTTTCTCTTTATTTAAATTGCTAACTTCTCTGAAACATAGATCTCTGTGACATAAATTGACTGTGTTTATACAAGCGATTGTTGGCTGATTCCGAAAAATCTCAAAATTAATTTATTATTATTGTCTTATTATTATTATTATTATTATTATTATTATTATTATTATATTATTATTATTATTATTATTATTATTATTATTATTATATTATTATTATTATTATTATTATTATTATTATTATTATTGTTATTATTATTATTATTATTATTATTATTATTATTACTATTACTATTACTATTACTATTACTATTATTATTTTATTATTATTATTATTGTCAATTATTGCAGTCAGCCTAATTATATAGTGATTTTGATAGATTACATTGCAGAGTACGAATCCTTGCATACCGCACGTAATATGGTCTTTTTGTACAGCGCGTTGTTTGCCGAAGGGAACTGTACTGTAGCATAATGATCCAGTTTTACTATTGTTTGTTGTTAACTATTTATCAATACCTCAGCATTAGAAATTGGCTGAGAAGATTGTAAATAGCTCTTTTCCAATTTGTCACTTGGTTTAAAAAAAATTTTTTTCTCGGGAATTGTGAACTTTTAAAGTAGATCGTCATGTATGTTTTATTTCAGTCGAGTTTAGTAGTAGCTGTATACCGTCTGGATGCATATTGAATAATTACTTGTAAAATTACTGCATGACTCTATTACTTTCTATTGCTTATATATATTTGGTTGAGAATTGTTTTCGATTTTTGGTTTTTTTCAGATATGATTTTAGTCTTTGAGTAGTAAAAATTGATTTTTAGGGCCCAATTCAATATTAGCATTGCCTAATATATTCGGTCATGGTTGTGTTTTTTTTTCCGTTCATGTATTTTTTATTTCCCAACTTGCCTGTGAAGGTCTTTCTCGAGCTTTAATTTCAAGTCTTCGCTATTTTTTGGAGTTTAATGCTTTATTTAGTTCTTTTCCAGCTGTTGAGTTTCTTTGTTCTTATAAGTTTGATGTATAAGTAGTGTACATGTTGTTAATATAACGTGCGCGAATTTGGTATGATCTCACTAGTGTGTGGTAGTCGTTTTTTTAATGCCAGTTTTATCGTCCTTGCCAATAAAATTTTCTTTAAAGATCACATCATTCAAGTACCTTTTGTGCAGTAGTGGTAAGCTTAAAATTTTTATGCGGCACTAAGTGGCTGAAATTATTGCGATTTTTTGTGTGCTATGGAAGGAAATGGAGGAGGACGGTAGGATGGTTTGTTTTTGTAGCAGACAGGTTTTAGTTTTGTTTGATTAGTTGGGTAAGTGATCAGACGTATGGTGGAGACGGTCGGAAAACTAGAAGTGAGTATTTTTAAGTCTGATACCGGTGTTTCGTTTATTAGAATCTACGGTTGCAAAATGGTTATTTAAAATGCAACAGGTTCGGGTGACCATTTGTTTTTTAATGTTGTTTCATTTGTGTCTCTTTTAAACGAAGATATTAATCTGTAGACACTGTGACAACATGTGATAAGCAAGCAGCGATGCTGATTTTGTCCGATATCTTTGTTTGAATAGTGGGGGCGAAAGCTGTGAATGCCTTGTTGGCTGCAGCGATAGACAGTAAATCACCTGCTAAAGGTAGAACTTTATACTGCTTTGTAGTCAGGTTTATTGTCGGCATTAGGGAGAAAGAGCGGTTTCCATACAAAAGAGTAAAGTTTGTATTAGGAAAGAGGATAATTTAAAGGATGCTTTCGTTCATATTAAACCATTTTTTCCTCTATTGCTTATTTCATAGTTTTTTTGAACTTCTCAAACTTGACTTGTTGGTGATAGACGGGTTTTCAATTTTTGAAAACAAAGTAAAGAGGCGGTCAGAGACATAAATATACATAGAAAAAAAGCAAAGTTAATAATAAAGTTAAACCAGAAAAGAAAAAAGTTTTAATTTTTTGTATTGCTTAATCTTTATTTCTTTTCGGTGAAGGCTGGCATTGGATAGTGATGAGAAGAAGTATGTGATTGGCAAAAACCAAGTGGATTAGCAGCCAAGCAGCATTTTTGACTTTACAACAATACTTTTGAATAGGCTGACACAGAATTAAAAGAGCGAGAGGGGAAGGGGAGGAAGAGGGTGAACGGTGAATTGAGGAAGGAGGATTTTTGTTCTACGTCTCTGTGTGTG